GGATCCCATTGCAAGAAACAAAAATAATCCACTTGGGTATTTACAAATATCAAACCATACCATGGTTTGATATTTGTAAATACCCAAGAGACATCTAGTGATCAGATTCTGAAAATGTATAGTCACAGATGTATTTATTCAGAGAAAGTGTTTAAACTCCTAAGAGACATCTAGTGGTTAGATTTTGAAAATGTAGTCACAGGTGTATCTATTTAACTAGTTCTCATTCTCTATTGTCTAACACCCTGACGAAGGCCTGTTTGGGCTGATACGCGTTGGTGTTTTTTAACATGTAGCCCTGTCGCACAATAAAGGCTTTTTATATTTTGCCTGCTATGTGAGTGCCTGGACGTGGATTATTTTTGCTTCTTGCAATGGGATTCATTTTTTCTTTTTGCCATAAGACCTTTGTTCATCTTCGTAACACAAATTAAGATATTTTTGATGAAATCCGAGAGCTCTCCATAGACAGCAACACAACTGAAATGTTCCCAGGCCCAGAAACGTAGTATAGACATCGGTAAAATTGTGCATGTGACATCAGTGGTTCAACCGTAATTTTACAAAGCCACGAGAATACTTTTTGTGTGCAAAGAAAACAAAAATAACAACTTTATTCAACAATTCTTCGCGTCCTCATCCCATCTGCTGCGGCGTACCGCCATTTTGGAGAGTATCACGTCGCATGCACCTGCTCTCCTTTTGCATGTAAACAAAGTATGCGCAAGCTGCTGCTTACACAAAAAAGTATTCTCGTAGCTTCATAAAATTACGGTTGAACCCCTGATGTCTCATGGACTATTTTACCAATGTCCTTGCTACATTTGCTAAGTTAAATTGCCTGCAACATTATCCTGCATGACCGGTCTGGATGGACACTGGTGCAGTCGGCCCTGGGTTCCTCCAGGTGCATGACAATGCCGGCCTTTTGCCCAGAGTGTGTAGGGAGTTTCTGGATGACAAAGGCATGATGCCATTGATTGGCTCAATCAATCAGTCAATCAATCAATCAATCAATCAGTCAATCAATCAATGTTTGTTTTAGATTTGAACTCATGTCATTCACATTGTTGACTAACGCTCTACTACTCTACTCTACTCTACTACTGAATCCACTTTGTGTGAATTGAGAGTAAGCCTTGTGTCACAATAAATATAGTCATGGATCCATGACTAATTTTAGGCCTACATCAAATCACAAAGGGAATACAAACAATACATTTTATGCAAACCTGCAATAATTAAGTTTCCAATCTTTATGTAAACCTTGATAATGTTTAATTTATGGAATAGGTATTTCGATGACTACCTAATGAATGATTCTTCAAATTAATAAATATTTATATAAATATACAGAAATATTGTACTATTTGGTGGCTTATTGATAGTGTGTGTAAATTTTGTTAATGCCTGTCAATTTGAGTCTTGTCATTTACTGGGTGTTTTGGCATGTTTTAATTACTGAACCCTTTTTGTTTTGCTCAGATTGGCAGGATGTAGATTGACTGGTCAGTGTTGTGAAAGTTTGTCTTCAGTTCTACAATCGTCAGACTCCCATCTGAGAGAGCTAGACCTGAGTAACAATGACCTGCAGGATTCAGCAGTGACGCTGATTGCTGCTGGACTGAAGAGTTCACAATCACAACTGAACACACTGAGGTCTGACTTTCATGTTTTCTTGTTCAATGTATGAATGTATGAATAAGTGTTTTAATTAGCATAATTAGCATCTGATAACTAATAATGCAATTAGCTTATTAAATCTTTCCCCACCAGCGTTTATAAAAAAAAGTTGCCAGCCACCACCAGCATTTTTGTTCATCAAATGTTCATGATCCCCAGAATCATCAGATCCAAAGCTTGCACAGTCCTAATTCACTTCATGGGTCGACATGTCATTCAGTAATGTTATGTAGTTTTAACTACATAATATATATATATTCACCTCACCTCATAATCTTTAAACAGAACGTCATAACTTGCATTCTGTGATTTGACTGACTCCTCTTCACTGACATATGTGAGGCTGCACTGACCTTCACTTTGAAATATGTCACAATATTGGAGTATAGTTGGTTACTTCCCCTTCATGCTGAGTTTAACATACTTTAATACTTTTTTGGTAAAGGACGACTGTGTGGATGAGGTAGGACTGCACATCTATAACTGTCATGACTCTGCACAAGAGACTCTTTCAAAAGTCTTATTTTTGAAATGTGTTGAAATGTCTGGTGAAATGTAACCTAATTTGCCTAAATATATCAAATAATTTATTATCTGAACTTCTTTAGTAATGCTACTGCCTTCTCAGCTCTGGTGTGCTTTATTAAGTGTAGAGATTTTGCAGGAGTATCTGAATTTGACTGTGAAAATCTGTCAAGAGCCAGGTGGATATGACACAAAGTTAAAAGCCCAATGCGTGACAGAGTACTGCTTTTGATGTTCAGCCTGCATATGGATTTTGGATGTCTGTCACTACATGTTACAACATACTGTACTCAAATCATCTGTGTCTGCAAACATCTGCGAAGCCCTATGGGCAGAAAAGAGAGACCAATCAAACTAGACACTCTAAACAAAGTAAAAAAGCTTAGAGCTAAAAGCATGCACTTCTAGAAGCAAATGAAACAGACTGACCAGGAATGACTCATGTGCTTTTGGTGATCCGATCACAAGTGGTCAGATGACACGCATTGCTGTTTTCCACTTGGCATCAACATTTGTTTCACATGCATTTTCTGTAATCACTTGTGTTTTATTCGGCAAGATCTCTTTCTTCGGAGCGCAGAGTTTCACATGACAGGGTTTGTAACGAATCCGGTCTGTGGACTTCCGTCCGATTGCCATCAGAGGTCACCCTTCCATTATATTGACACCCACACTACACAGACTGTTTCACGTTACCTTGGACTACATTTCCCATCTGTCATTTCACTAATCACACGCTCACCTGAAACCAATCACATACACTACATAAGCCACACTCAAACCATTACAGACTGCCGAGTATTGTATTTTTTCTCAGTAACTGTAACCGATTACTTACAGTTACAGTGTGTAATTAAATTACGTAATGCCATTACATGTAACTAGTTACTCCCCAACACTGGTGAGCAGTGAGTTGGCGGTGCTTCACTGTGGTCTAGGAACGTTAAGGTTGGATAGCATTTCTACTACAAATTAAATGTGGTAATGTACATTTTTGATTCCAAACATAGGCTTTTTTTACTTTGACTGCAACCCGAGCTTACAGGAGAAGTCAGGAGAGGAAATGTCAGATGAAAGTCAGATGAAATGCTATGAATAATGACCAAGCCAAAGTGGTGCGGAGAAACACATGTAGCCATGCCTCCAGGTGCTGCCCCACCCCTATTTTGAAGACTTCAACCAGGTTCTTTTCACAACCTCTGTTTGTGGTTTCAGTGACCCGATCATGTTTAGGATACGTTTAAAGAGTGTACTAAAATGTCAAAGTTTTGTGTAGAGACAACAATGTTGTCAAAACGATGGATCTGCTAAAATGATGACTAAAACCTCTGTATAATGCATGCTAGGCCAATAATTGAGGACCAGTAAAATGTCTGGGTTGTTATATTGTTTAACTATATAAGTGAGGACATTCGGCCCTCACAAGTATACTTAAACAAGTACATACACAAAATACACATTTTCTTCAAATGTTCATGATCCCCAGAATCATCAGATCCAAAGCTTGCACAGTCCTAATTCACTTCATGGGTCGACATGTCATTCAGTAATGTTATGTAGTTTTAACTACATAATATATATATATTCACCTCACCTCATAATCTTTAAACAGAACGTCATAACTTGCATTCTGTGATTTGACTGACTCCTCTTCACTGACATATGTGAGGCTGCACTGACCTTCACTTTGAAATATGTCACAATATTGGAGTATAGTTGGTTACTTCCCCTTCATGCTGAGTTTAACATACTTTAATACTTTTTTGGTAAAGGACGACTGTGTGGATGAGGTAGGACTGCACATCTATAACTGTCATGACTCTGCACAAGGGTTATACCAAAAATGGAAATTCTGTCTTAATATATTTCACCTCATCACCTCATTATCTTGTGTTCTACAGAAGAAAAAAGCCAGAGTTGAAACATAATGAGTGATGGGTAAAGAAAACAAATGTTTAATTTTCATTACTTGCTAATAATTTTGGTAAAGGAGGATAAAAGTTGGCATAGTTGCAAATATAGGTTTGGTTTTTGAGTATGGGATTTGATCAGGTACTGCATGTGATATTTGAAAGGAATTGTGTGTGTTCTTGTGCAAGCAAGAAGGCAACAGGAGGACAAAACGTATCAGCACAAAACACTGACCACTTCATCTGGTGCTAGAATCTACAGCGCCGTTTCATTCAACACCAGCCTCTGACTGCTACGCTGCAACAAACAAGGAAGTTAAAAAGCTTTTCTGTTAGTCACCTCCCCTGCCCTCAGAGCAGCCTCATTATTTCCCTCATGTAACCACAGCGGCTGATTCAGGTCCCTTCTACCAGCTTTTCATCCTCTATTTTAAGCCATTATAATTGCACAAAGGCTTCACAATGCGATTATAGTCCCTGAGTTTAAACTGCTTTGAAGTCTGTCAATGTGACAGAGATGTGAGATTCTGGGGTTTGGGATGAGGATACACAATCATGTAAGCAGCGTTTCACATCTTTACTGCCCCTTATGAGGATAAAAACAATCCTTTTAAATTAATCTTAAGTCAAAATATATTTTTCATGAAGCTCTGAGAGCATGACTCATTTGCACAGGTCCAATGCAAATTGTGGAGAAAATATTCAGTAACAGTCTGTGCATTAACAACATGTGCATTAACTTTAACAATCTTTTTGCTAATAAGGGATACTAATAAAGTTATTTAACTTTTAAAACATCATTATTAATAAATCTTAATGTATATTAATTGATTATCTAATTTCTCAATACTATTTTTTGATGAAATGTTGCTAAGGATGATACTGAATTTAGGGACAAGCGCTTCAATATGTCCCACCCATACTTCCTGTTTCAAGGAAATGCATCATTACAGGAAGAAAAAAAAGCTACACTAGTCAGGCAATTTCTCAAGGTCTTTAAGTGCTTTTGAGACTTTACAAAATGAAGCAAAGCTACTGTTTTGTAGCTGTATAAACTAATTTTGAATCTAAAGCAATCCTGGCTTTGGATAATCTTAGTACTGGAATGATTCCCAATGGCAAGTTTAACTTTTTAGATCAGTACTTTAAAATTGTAATGAAATGACATAAATTGGAATATGCCCCATGCAAATGTGGATGTTTGATGTTCGTCTGAGAGTTCTCATTAGCTATAGAGCTTCAGCAACTTCAAATGGCGTAAGTCAGCTTTTATACAGTAAATACAGCCAAGCAATACCTGATGATAACAGAATTCAAAGATTACCTTCACTGAATGGCTTCATATGAATGGCTTCCTCCTTTAAATAATATATACAAAATGCCAAAACTTATCTATTCCATACAACAAGATGGGTCGACAAGTATTGCTCTTAAAAGAACAAACAAGTAGAAAATAGCCCATATTAGGAGAGTCAATAGTAACTAGTTGTAGTTTATATGTTGCACTTAACTAATTATTTGAGTGTTGCACCAATAAACTTTGGTGAAAAATATTCCCTATGAATAAACAAAACATTTTCTTGAAGACTGAGACCAGGAGTAGCAAGCCTGTAGACTTAAAAATGGAAACAAACAAACAAACAAAAAAGTTCTGGCAATACTTTACATTATGTTCCCATTAGTTAAAGGTGACATATCATGTAAATCTGACTTTTCCAGGTTTTAAATGCTATAATCTGGTCCCCGGTGCATCTAGCAACCAAGGAAATGTGAAAAAGATTGACCCAGTAACTTTGTTTGGTAAGCCTTTTTCTGCAAGCGTCTGAAAAAAGAGTGTGTCTGATTTCGCTCCCCTAGTGACGTTGCAAAGGGATCTCATTATAATATTACCGCCCCTTAATCTG